ATTTTCATGACTGACGCTGCTTTCTATGGATGCATTGTATGGGTTCATTCTAAAGATGGAGTGGAGTGGAGTTTTTTCTGTTGATGGTCAGATCTGTCCTGTTCAAACCCACCAACAGCAACAACTTTCCCAAATTTCAGTATCAATCTCCATTTCTTTTTAAATGCTTTCGGTTGTTTTTCCATTTCCATGAAAAGCAGTTGTAGGATCTTGCAGTTATGAACCCGTTTCATGTAGCGACACATTAACAAACAGAAATGGAGGCACATGGTTTCTTCCTCTCCAGTCACTGCATTTGTTAGACTCCCAGTAATGAGTACTGATGCTTTGTGCTAAATGGAAATTGTTCTCTAACTGGTTCCACTGTGTCTAACTCTATATTTTAACTTACCCTTTCTGATCTGGATTATGAGAACACCTGTTAGTATGTGAATGTAAAGTGGTTCAGTTTGTGTGAAGGGATGAGGAGTGGAGTGATGTAACAAAGTCAGATGAGAGTGATAAACAGCAGTTTCCTTTTCTGTGAGAAGAGCAAGTCCTCTGGTGTTTTTTGGTCATGGCTGAAGTCTTCCTGTTTCTTTGTCTTTGTTTAACCTTTATTTAAGGTAATTAAAAGCTAATTATTTACAATGCCAAAGGAGAGTTTAATTTGTCCTAAACAACAGGTTAGTTCTCACTGCTTCTTCTTATATATTCTGACTCCTCCTCATCGCACACCAAGCATGCTTTTTTTCCTCTCAGACAAGAGGCAGGAAACTGAAGAACGACAGAGGCTTTAACCGAGAAACAGAAAGAAAGATTTATTTTTTTGTCATTGAGTCCTTCCACCCACTACACACATGCACAAAACCATAACAGTAGATGAATATGATAAAGCCTGAGCTCCTCTCTGAGCTGCTGTTCCAGTGGTTCCCTGAGTCTATCTGGTGGCAGCGTACACAACATTGGGCTCCAGCTCTCTCTGTGATGCAGGCCTGCGGTTTCTTTTTGGTTTGGTCTGGAAACTTAGAGTTGTGTAGTTCAGGTCATCTGAGCCCAAATTCTGTAAAAATATTGAGAGTCACGTAATGTATTACACACAGTGGAACTTTCATTTCTGCTAAAAGTCATTGAAACTGGTGGATTTGTATGGGGTTCTATTTGTGCCAAAACCTCTGGATGACACGTACAACAACAGAGTCAAACGACAGAGAGTGTAACATGATGACAAAAAATTTAGTTCAAAGTTGAACAGACAGACAAATGTGTTGTCACATGTTCAGTCAACAGTTTGCATGTGGACATAGTTTTGGCTAAAATGGATCCCTATAGATTTGTGGGTTGAACTAAAACAGAATCATTTAGAACATTTAAAGTCCTAGTCATAGTATAGCTAAAATCTAATTTAAGACTTTTAATGGAACTATTACACAGTTCAAAATGATAAAACTCATCTTAATGACCTAAACCAATGTTAGATCTTATAGGAATTAACAAGGCTAATATTATTTGAGGTTAAAGAAGATAACAATGACTTCCTGCTTGCCTATACTTGCTGTTTGTTCCCACTTGCAGGACTATGTGACAAAAATCATTAACACACCAGTCGTCCGTTTAAATTCACCTCTTAGACCATAACCTATAGTTTACAGGTTTTTAGGCAGTGCATAATAATCTCACTGGGCCTCAGTTGTGAGGCCAAAGCATCAGTGATGTTTTGGAGGCTCGTATGGAAACCTAGATAAAATGATTGAAAATTTCACCAGAGACATCTGGTTAGATCTGTTTAAAATGCCTCGTTGTCCCACCAGCCTTGGGTTGATGAAAGGCAATAATGTTGTTAGAGCAAGAATAGTCACTGTCACATGACAATCGGGTGTATCAAGCCCACACAGTGGTTCGTGGCATCGCTCAAATAATCTATAAAGGTTTTACTGGTCCTGTCAGTGTAACTGGACTCAACAACGTATCTGACAGAAACCCTGGTTTATATGAGTAAAAACTGTTTTACCTTGTTTCTTTCTGTCTGTGGTTCTTCATTCACATCTACGTGGCAAAAGACAAAAGTCTGATTAGTTAATTATTATTGATCGCATACTTTAATTTGGAGGTTTCCATCATGTTGAAACAATTCACAACAAATTATATATCAGCTGTACCTTTCTGAAGTTTCCTGATTTTAACAGCCAGAACAATGACCACTATAGTGAGGAAAACAGTCAGACCCCCCAGCACCACACTCATCAGGTTTGTCATTCCACCAGGCACTTCTACAATAAAGATGATAGATTCAGCTCTGGTGGATTTAGACATGGTTAACATTGAAATGATACACCCCATGGTAACAGAGAGACAGGAACCTTACCTTCAGAGTTACAATCCTCTTCATAATCAGATTCATTATTACCTGTGAAAAAGCTAGATTCAATTATTTGACATGTATTTGTTTTTAGTTTGTCTTTGTGTTGTAAATAAATTTGAGACACAGTGTACTGTAAATATGATGAGAAATTACCATCTCTGAAAGAGGTTAGACTTAAATACAATCTTACCTTGAACATATAAATGTATTGTATCGGTGATGACTGTGTGTGCGTCTTTGTAAAATCCACAGAAATACAGTCCAGAGTCAGATAAATCCACTCTCTTGATCTTCAGAAAGACATTGGAGATGTTGGAGCTCATTTCAAATCTATTTTGAAATCCATCACAGAATGAAGCTTCATTTTCAGCTTTGTACATAGAGGAGATACAGCTGGCTTTGGTTCTGTTGACCAGTCTGAACCACTCCATCTGAGTTGGACTTCTGGAAATGTTGGAGCACAGCAGTGTGACGTCTTCACCAGACTGGACGTCCACAGTCTGAGACTGGGACACTGAGACAGAGATCCAGCCTGAAACAAACAAGCAGACACAACAAGAGTTTTACCTCTGAGTGTATAATGTAACAGTTACTGTGATAAGGAGACAGCAACAATTAACTCAACTCTAATATGCAAGTTTAAACTCTGGTGGTATACTGGTTACATCAGTTACATTAGTTCAAACAGTTGAAGTACTTACTCATGCAGCAGAGAAATGACGCTGTTACCACGGTGAAGCTCCTCATTGTTGCATTTAATTGTGTCGCTACAAAGACTGTTTGAACCACTGAGCTCATATAAAGAGGTTTGGAGGGGCGGAGTGTCTTTAGTTTTTCCTCTTGCTCGTCACACTCACCAGCCAATATAATGCAATGCCTTTGCATAAACACTCTATCTTAGCTCCAGCAAATGTCCAATAACATAAAATTTGAAAAATGACCTTACTGGAAAGTTTGTGGTAGGAGAGTCACTATCTTAAGGTACCATGTCACTTCTGCGGTAGAGTCAAATGCAGAGACAAACGCTGCCACAAGGAACTGCAGAATCATAAGGATCAACTGCTCAGTGACTCCTGCAGTATTCTGGACTTTGATTTATACCCTGTTTTATTTTGAAATACTTACCTTATGTGTCCACTGCTTGTGTTACTTCTTGTCTTTGTCCAGTTTCAAGCTATTGTGATTGCCTGCCCCACCCTGATGTGTTACACCTCTGTTTTGTTAGCTGCTCCTTTTGTGTGTATTTAGCATAGAATGCAAATAAAGACAGACATAACCTCTATGATGTCCCCTACAGGTTTCTGAAGAGCGGTTTTGAAGTTCAGAGTGAGCTGCACAGCTGTCACCATCTTGGCAGTGTCTGACTCCGCCCCTTACTCCCAGTTAATCCAAAAATGAACAAAGAGGTGGGGCCTGTGAAGCTGATACTTCAGTGCATGATAGTTTTTGGCAAACATACACTCACCCACCTGTCATTCAAAGTGACCACGCCCTCAATTCTGCATAACTTTAAGCCTCAATAAAATGTAAACACGTGAATTATGTAAAAAATCACTCCTGTGCAGTTGTCATGAAGGAGGAAATTAGCTATAGAGACCAAAACTGTTTTTTGTACCAGGGTGTAAAAATGTTCATTTCTGCTGTAAAGTTGGGCATTTTAACATGGGAGTCTATGGAGATTGAGTCACTTTCGGAGCCAGCCTCAAGTGGCCATTAAAGGAACTGCAGTTTTCAGCCCTTCATTTTTCAGCCCTGGAGGTTGCTGCTTGGTTTTTAGTTTCTTTGCTCGCAGTTTTCTTTGTCAGTTCTTCTGCTTTCCTCCTGTTGAGTTTCCTCTAAAGATTCCTTGTGATTGTTCCTGAGCTTTATCCATCGTTTAGATGACTTTGGTTTGGATTTTCTAAGTTTTATGTTCCTGCATCTACTTCAGTTTTTTCTTCAGCATTCTGTAAGTTTCTGGACTTTTGTGTTTATTAAAACTCCTTCTTTGCATTTACTCATTTGTCCTGTCTGTGTTTGGGTCCAGTTACCGTTGACCCCTGACATCCATAAGAGTCTGGTATGATGGCATGTAATATGGCAAGAAAACAAACCAAGGGCCCACTAGCATCATATTTTCACTGACTGACACCGCTTTCTATGGATGCATTGTATGGGTTCATTCTAAAGATGGAGTGGAGTTTTTTCTGTTGATGGTCAGATCTGTCCTGGTCAAACCCATCAACAAATTTCTGTATCAATCTACTTCTTTTTAAATGGTTTTTGTTGTTGTTACCCTTTCTGATCTGGATTATGAGAACACCTGTTAGTATGTGAATGTAAAGTGGTTCAGTTTGTGTGAAGTGATGAGGAGTGGAGTGATGTAACAAAGTCAGATGAGAGTGATAAACAGCAGTTTCCTTTTCTGTGAGAAGAGCAAGTCCTCTGGTGTTTGTGGTCATGGCTGAAGTCTTCCAGACCACACTGTACTGTCTCTTCATGTGCACCAAATGGTGTGTATCTCGCTCACTCCTCCCCCCACAGCCCATTTCATTCTCTCTATAAGTCAGTTTGACAGTCATCAGAGTCCTTTCTGACTCCTCCTCTATCACACATTAAGTATGCTTCTGTTCCTCTCAGACAACAGGAAACTGAAGAACGACACAGACTTTGACCGTGAAACAGAAAAAAACGTTTATTTTTTGTCATTGAGTCCTTCCACCCACCACACACACACGCACAAAACCACAACAGTAGATGAATATGATAAAGCCTGAGCTCCTCTCTGAGCTGCTGTTCCAGTGGTTCCCTGAGTCTATCTGGTGGCAGCGTACACAACATTGGTCTCCAGCTCTCTCTGTGATGCAGGCCTGTGGTTTCTTTTTGGTTTGGTCTGGAAACTTAGAGCTGCGTAGTTTAGGTCACCTGAGCCCAGATTCTGTAAAAAAATATTTAGAGTCACATAATGATGTAAAAAAACTACACACAGTGTAGCTGCATGTCCAAAAATTATTGAAACTGGTGGATTTGTATGGGGTTCTATTTGTGCCAGAATTTCTGGACGATATGCACAACATAGTCGAAGAACAAGAGAGTGTAACAAGACAACAAAAGTTTTGTTCAAAGTTGAACAGACAGACAAATGTGTTGTCAAATGTTCAGTCGATATAGACAGTGCACATGTAGACATAGTTTTGGCACAAATGGAATCCCATAGGTTTTTGGGTAGTACCATAACAGAATCATTTAAAAACACTTGAAGTCCTATAATCATAATTGAGCTAAAATCTAATTTAAGACATTTAATGGAGCAATAACACATTCAAAAATGTAAAACTCCTCTTAATGTTGAATTTTATGTAACAGGGCTAATATTAATAAAGTTTAAAGAGGACTAGCATGACTTTCTGTTTGCCTGAACGTGCTGTTTGATGCTACTCGCAGGACTATGGTAGCATCATGGAATCTTTGGCGGTACATATGGAAACTGAGATAAAATGGTTGGAAACTGACAGAAACCTTGATTTATATGATTGAAAAACATTGTTTTACCTTATTTCTTTCTGGCTGTGGCTCTTCATTCACAGCTATGTAGCAAAAGACAACAGTGTGATAAGTTAATTATTACCGATACTTTAATGTGGAGTTTTCTGTCACATTGACACAATTTACAAGGGCATGTGCAGCATAATATAAATTATAAATCACCTGTACCTTTTTGAAGTTTCCTGATTTTAACAGCCAGAACAATGACCACTATAGTGAGGAAAACAGTCAGACCCCCCAGCACCACACTCATCAGGTTTGTCATTCCACCAGGCACTTCTACAATAAAGATGATAGATTCAGCTCTGGTGGATTTAGACATGGTTAACATTGAAATGATACACCCCATGGTAACAGAGAGACAGGAACCTTACCTTCAGAGTTACAATCCTCTTCATAATCAGATTCATTATCACCTGTGAAAAAGCTAGATTCAATTTTTTGACATGTATTTGTTTTTAGTTTGTCTTTGTGCTGTTTTCACTTTACTGTGATAATAAATTTGAGATATAGTGTAAATACAATCAGACACTGACTTAAATACAGTCTTACCTTGAACATTTAAATGTGTTGTATCAGCGATGACTGTATGTACGCCTTTGTAAAATCCACAGAAATACAGTCCAGAGTCAGATACATCCACTTTCTTGATCTTCAGAAAGACAGTGGAGATGTTTGAGCTCATTTCAAATCTATTTTGAAATCCAACACAGAATGAAGCTTCATCTTCAGACTGGTACATAGAGGAGATACAGCTGGCTTTGGTTCTGTTGACCAGTCTGAACCAGTCTGTCTGAGTTGGACTTCTGGAAATGTTGGAGCACAGCAGTGTGACGTCTTCACCAGACTGGACATTCACAGTCTGAGACTGAGACACCGAGACAGAGATCCAGCCTGAAACAAACAGCAGAGACAGCAAGAGATTTACTCCTCGTTTGATAAACTAACAATAAGACATTTCATAAATTCAACACTCATGAATTTGCATGTTTAAATCAAAGGTTTCTGGGTAAAAGCGTGACCAACATTTTATTTGTTGCTGCGAATAATTTAATAGCAGTACTTACTGTAGCTGTAGAGAAGTAAAGCTGTTATTAAAGTGAAGCTCCTCATTGTGCGCATAACCATGTCACAGCAAGAGCACTTTATGTTGTGTCTTTGGAAAGGGGCGGGGTATTGAATAGTTCATGCAAGGCGGCTCTAATCTTTCACCACTTTGATATGTGTACATGATCCAACAACAATTTCAGACCATAATTCTTTAGAGGTTTGTCAAGATTTAAACAATCATCATGAAGGTACCCTCATCTAATTTGTAACAGTCGCGTATAGCAGCTCAGACAGTCAGACATGCAAGTTCAGTATTATTGTCATTTATCCATATACAAGTAAACTGTTGGACTAAATGTTCTCCTGTTCAGCCGAGGTACAAAAACACAAAACACGGACAACACAACAATACGGACAGAACAATCAATCAGGATGTCTTCGAAGCCAATATAAAATAAAAAAAATAATACTGTGTTCGATGATAATAAAAAAATGATAAATAAGTGATCTACAGAACTAGGAGAGGTATAATCACAGGCAGCAACACTGGCTCTTTCAACCCCAAGAAACTACTTGCTAAAGCATATGGTCAATCTGCTTCTCCCTGCAGTCCATAACCATCTCTTTTGTCTCATACACCCTGAGGGTCGGGTCTTTTTTTCTGTACCACCCAAGCAAACTCTTCACTTCCTCTCTGTTTCCTTATAGTTACTGATACGATCTACCACAACACTGTCTTCAATGTGAATGATGTAAGCTGCTAAGTGTGAACAGTGTGAAAAGCAGTCGGCTGAGCACGTAGCCCTGTGGGACACCAGTGGTCATCAAATGCTCTGTGGTGTCCCTGTTAAATATCAAAAGCAGAGTGATAGAGGGAGGGGGTTTCTCTCATGCAGACCAAATGCTGTCACAGACCACCACTACAACTACCCACAACTTCTATTACTAGACACACACAAGCCATTGTTCATGTGCACACTACCACTCTCCCTCTTCTTGTGCTATCAATTGGTTCTCCAAGATCTTACTCTCCCAATCTATCAACTGAACCCCTGTAGTGTAAAGTTTCCCCCCCCCCCAGAAGGCGCTACATAACTCTGTCTACCAGAACACATGCTCTGAACTCCACCTCTTAAATCCAGCATTTGAAATGACATTGCTGTGTATGCTGTGAACTTAGCTTTCCTAAAAACAAATCCCACCAAACCCGTCCATGTAGTCAAATAGTCAAATGTTTAGTGATTTAAAAGAAAAACCCATTTGCATTTGGCGGGGGTTAAGTGTTTTATGAAACACTTCAGCAGCCTGGTAGAGCCAAACAAATTCATTTCCTACTCAGGCCGAGACAGCACCACACGCTGACCCTCTTAGCAGCCAATCAAGTGTAACCTCATTTTAAAGCTGTTGTTTGCGCTTGTGCTCAAGACATTCAGTTCTCAAGACCTCAGAGACGATGCACCTGTATACAATCTTCTGTGGAGTATGTAAGTCCTGTGATATATAATAATTTCAGTCTGTGATTCTAATTCTGCTAAAAAAGAAACGAATACCAGCTAATGTTTCTTTAACATTATATGCTTTTGAACCAGTTCACCTGTCAGCTGTGATCCAGTCGGCAAAAGTCAAACAAGACACTCGTGTTGTATCTGCCAGTGTTGGGGACAATGTGACTTTACATTGCTTCTATGACAGCCAAGTGTCGATGCACTTCTCCTGGTACCGACAAACCTTAGGAAGCAGACCTGAGCTCCTGTCGACGATTTACAAATACGACAAACCTTCCAAAGTCTTCCACTGGTTGGAGAAGAACCCTCGTTTCTCTGTACAGATGAAGGAAATGATAAATCATTTACACATCTCTGACGTCCACCTCTCAGATTCAGCCACATACTTCTGTGGAAGCTCACACTCCAACATGGTGGAATTTGGAGAAGGGGTCTTTTTAAGTGTCAAAGGTATTGTGCTTTTTTTTTTTTTTATTTCATTGGCTTTGACTTTAGATGAAATGCAGAAACTGTAGAAATTGGTAGAGGGTTGCATCCAAAATAATTTAGTTTTTTCTTTAATCCCTTGAAGTATCAGAAAAATAATAAAGTGTTTAAACAAGTAAATATGAATTAGAAAATAACACACTTGATAGTTGTAGGCAATTTGAAATATAGGGAGACCAGGGGCGGTTGTAACACTTTTTGCAGTTTTTCCAATAAAATAAAAACCATTTCCACATGGATAGCCAATTTGTTTATCTATATTATAAACTTCAGTGTGTCAACTACTGAAATAATGTATTGAAGTGGAAATATGAACTAGTTGCAAAATTGATTAAATACGGTCACTCCACTGTTACAACAGTGTACAGGGGTTGTAACACATGCCAGGGACAGTCGTAACATGTCGAAAATATACATAATTAATTAATTATTTAAATACTCAAAATGAAAAGGATTATCTATCATTCACGTTGTTTTGATTACTAAATTCTTTTTCGAAACAATGATTACTTGATGATTACTTAATAATGAAAAGTGGAAGCTGTCAAATTATAATGCAAGAAAATTTTTTAATGGGTACAATACACATCCTCAGAAACGTTTAAACATGAAATCAAAATGAAAGAATTTGAAGACTTAGGTAGTCCACATTGATGGAATCACTCAGAGTTACAGTGGTGGCAAGCGTAAACGTCACTTCCATCTGTGCAGTCCTTGTGTGCCCAGACTTTACAGGACCAGCATTGGAGCCAGACCTCCCTTGACCTGGAGTAGCTCTCCAGGCACACAATGTAGAATTGATCTTCATCAGATGAGTCCTTAATTTTCTGCTTCTTCCTGGGTTTGGGTTTTTTTTTTTTTTGAGCTGAAATTCATTTTTCTTTTAGCTTTAGACCTGCTTTTCTCAGCCTCCAGTTGTTTTTTCATTGGAGTATCCATAAGGACAGCAGTTTCTCTTCTTTTCCTCCCCTTTGTTGTCTGTTTTCTTGGTCCAGCTTTTGGATGTGGACGAATGGTGTGAAAAGGTTGTATCCATAGCAGAGGATGATGGCTCAGTCACACATGGTGTGACAGGGGAGGATGCTGCAAGTGGCATGTAGGATGCCACTGTTGCCACAGTGGGTGCTGGCCCTGTAGTCCACACAACGGCATTCATTGCACTGAAAGACACTGACAACTTGGTTCAGGGATGGTTGTAGCAAGGCATTATAACCGTCCAAGTATCACCAGCCATGTTTTCACCTCATGTGAATTAGCTTGACTGCTACTTTGACACATGCTAGTAATTTCTGTGTTTAGTTTAAAAAAACAGTGATTCTAATAATACTTGTTTGGATTCCTAGACATTTGATCACAGGGCAGTTTCCAAAAAATACATCTGATAGAAACGTTACATTTTACCTAAAAAAAAAAAAAACTTCTGGTGATAACTTTCTCTGGGAGTTTCAAATGTGGCTCTTTAATTGTTAGCAAGAAGATAATCTAACTGAGCATGTGCACAATGAGTGTAATCACTCCAGCCTGTTTCTGCCTAGAGGAATTCAAGGTGTTACAACCATCCCATGTTACAGCTGTCCCTGGTCTCCCCCTGTTCATACAGTCTTATCATCAGCCAGAAAAAAACTGGATTTAAAATAAAGAGGCTAATACTCATAATACATATATGTAAAAACTTATTTTATAAGTTATTTTTTTAACTTGTATTTTACCTTTTTTAACCCTTTTATAACTTTTTTTTTTTGCTTTTGGATTTAGAGGCTAGACTCCAGAAAATTGTCCAGGGGCCAGTGTCTGAGACCATACAGCGTGGAGGCTCTGTGACTTTAAACTGTACAGTTCACACTGGGAACTGTGATGGGGATCGCAGTGTTTACTGGTTCAGATATGGATATGACCAAGGAATTCTTTACACACACGAAAGTCAGTGTAAACACGTCTCTACACCGGGGTCTCCTTCACAGAGCTGTGTGTACCATTTGCAGAGGAAGAACCTGAGCTCCTCTGATGCTGGAACCTACTACTGTGCTGTGGCCTCCTGTGGGGAGATACTGTTTGGTAATGGAAGCAAGTTGCTTGTCACAGATTATGTTAAAGACCAAATGGCACAGATGAGTATCTTTGTCTGGCTCTCCATCATTAGAACTGGGATCCTCGTGTTCTTTGTAATGGTTTGTCTTTTGGTTTACATGTCTAAGAGCTGGTAAAATCTGGGCTCATCTTAATCTGTGTTTCACGTTAGCTCAAACATACCATCAACACAAGTAATTCCAGTTCTTTCACCTTGTGCTGGGGCACTACCACAGTGGGTTGACACATCAAAACAGTTTATGTTAATGGAAGATCATTCTCTTTTTCTATTGGTAAGTTTGAATCAGATGAAGTCAGCATTCCATACAGAGTCCCTCAAGGGTCAATTCATGGTCCACTGCCATTTATATATGCTCCAACTCTGGTCCATCATTCAGCAAACAGTATTTCAACAGTATTTTCATATAGATATCAAATATTGGATGGCCAAAACTTTTTACAGCAAAATGAGGACAAAACAGATTCTTTTAATAGGTCCAAATGCTATGAGGCACCAGATTCTCTGTTTGTTGAGTCCTCTGACTGTAAAACCGTGTCAACATGCCAGAAAAGTGTGATTTTGGATGCTCACATATCTAACATCTCCAAGACTGCCATTTATCATCATTTATTGTTAATATATATCAACGAATGGCTTAGCTCCTCCTAACGTTATTGACATACTCAATGAGCACACACGAGATAGATTCCTCAGATCAGTGGTTCACATCAAGGAACCTAGACTGACAGAAAATAGACCACAGAGCCCTGTGTTTTATTAAAGAAAAAAATTGAATCTCATTACCAAAGTAGTCATTCATTCTGTCATTGTGTTTCTTATGGATGGAATTATAGTGGAATACATCATTCCCTATTTGCTTTTATCCGTATTATTATTATGATTCTCTTCTTATAATAATTAGAATATCTCTGTATTATATTCCCCCTTTTATTGTAATACCTTCTTATCTTTTATGTTTTCATTATGTATGTCTTTTATTTCTGCTTTTTATCTTGAAGCACATTGAGTCTACGCCTGATGTATGAAATGTGCTGTATAAATAAACTTGACTTGACTTTTTGAAACATTGTGCATGTCAGGAAAATGCACCTTTGATGGTTAAGAGACCAAAAAAACCTTGAGAACACCTCGACACTTGCGCTCCACGAATCTATTGTCTGATCAACCCATAAACATGACTTTAGGTTTCGCTAACCACAGTGCCACATAACATCTGTGATTTCTCTTCACAAGCTGTGTCATCAGAGAGCGACACACACAAAGAAACACACTGTGTTGTGGAACATCAATGAACTTCTAAACATGTAGTTTGATCATAAAAATACATTTCTGTGATCTACTGAAAGTCTTCACAGGTGGAGTTCCACTGGTTCTTTGCAACAAAATGAGGACTTCCTGCCTCAAACCACCTACATACAAACACAAAGGCTCTTAGACACGTGCTCGTGACCCAACTCTACCAATGTACAGAAAGATCTCTTCTCTGACTGCTGACCACAAGAATGCTACGCTGACACTGAAAGGTTTGGCCTGTTTCTTGTGATGAAGCTGCAACATGTGACTCGTGGAAGAAATGTTACTTTGATAGTTGCACCATACACATATCTCTTTATGTCAATAAGATTAGACAAATGTGTGCAAAAAATTCATTCTTCACTGGACATGAATATTCACAACACACATTATTTCAGTATAATTATTCTTTGAAGGGCAGATAATGTCTGTTTTAGTTCATATTTGTGTCTCTGGATAAACTGAAATCTTGCATGCAACAACTATTTAATTTGTTTATTTATAAATAACATAGAAATACAGAAAGTACAGTAATAATTTTCATGGTTTTGTTTTTAGTTTGTTGTAGTGTTTCATAATGTTATGCTGTCAATGAGGAATTATTGATTTTTTTCTTTAAGAAATACAGCACTTTTTTTTTTTAATCTCACCACTATTTAACTCAGCCATTTAATTTAGATTCTTTAATTATTTAAAATATTTATTACAGCTCATCTGTACTACATTTATATTTTATAAGACAAACTTCAAAGTGTTAAATAACAGTTAGTTCAAATCAGTTATTGGTAGTTTCTGGTTTTTCCCTTAAATTATAAACAAAGTAAATTTTAATTTGGATGATTCAGGATTTATAGTTTTGCTGGCATTTCTGTATGAAATTAAATGCGGCCTGAAATTTCATTTACATTTACATTTACATCCTTCAATTATATTCAAAACAGCCTCAGAAACCTAGTCCACACGCTTTAAACACACTTCAGTCTGTTATAAAGGAAAAAATTAAGGTTCAATACTGAAATATGATTTGGAGGAACTGCACTAATTACATATAAGAACAATACTATTATTAATGATTAATGAATAAGGTATTTAATTTAGATTTTGAAAACAAACTTTTGTATTATTTTGTATAATGAATTAACAGATCTCACATACTTATATGAGTCTAAAACTTATAACATCAAGAATTTCTTGGACTGAAAATTGCACTTAAACCGTTAGTGTCTTACTGTTAATAATCCTGTTCCTGTTATTGCAGAGTGCATGGAAATTAAAGTAGTAACACAATTTTTTAAGTTTTATATCGAAACATCACAATAAATCTGTGGCTATTAGAGATCCTCTTAGTTGGGGGGCCCGCCTTCCTCCTGTTGTTTTCTATTTGCATGATGTGAACCATCCTTCATTTTGTTTTTGCTACACTAGCGAATCATATCTGTGGTCAGTGGGTGGACACACACCTGCACCACTGAAGTCCTGCAGTTGACATCACAGCCTTCTCTGCTGGCGTGTAAACGCGTTAACACCGACTGCTGCGCAAGCTCAAAGCAGATTTCTGTCATGTCAGGCCCACAGCGAACTGAATGCGCTGAGCCTAAAAAGCCACAAAGATTTTATCTAATCTACTGTAAAGTCATTTGAAACCACACACACACACACACACACACACACACACACACACACACACACACACACACACACACACACACACACACACACACACACACACACACACTGACTCAATGACTTTCTCCCTGATAGTTTAATTTCATATTCACCTGTCTGAATATAGTTTGTCTGTGACTGGTAGCACAGACAACAAACCGACCTCAGTCTACTGATGTAGTCTCCTGGAAACCACAGAGACAAAGACAAAAACATGACAGCGTCTGAGATCTTCTCTTTTTACTGTCAACTGCACAGAGGTTATAAAAAGCCTCTTGCACATCTGTGTTTGTGGAAACATGTAGAATAAACAACCCACAAACAATGTTCTGTGGTTACTCTGTGACGACTTTGGCCCTCTAACAGGAGACAGGTGGGGGTTTTTTTTTTTTTTAAATGGAGGAGCTTAGTTTATTTAAAGGCAAATGTAGGTGAAATCATATTGACAGAAATGCTGGTGATTCAAAAATAATTCCAACGAAGAAGAGATGAAACACGTCCAGCTCTACTGCCTCACACTGGAGTACACACATTCACCCAGGGCGTCATCCCTCTGTCTTCTCGATCTGTTGACCGTAGGAGCCTTTAAAGCAGCATAATGAAGGTTTTCTGCATCTTGACATAACTGGTGATAAAAGATAAAAAGGTTAATTATTAATATATAGTATAAGAAACAGCACAGGAGAGACATGCACAGAACCCGGCAGGTGTCATGGAGAAAAAGATGAATTCATACTCTCAAATTAATCATCTGTGTGCATTGATTTAAAATAACACCTTAAACAACATAGTTAACCTTTGTTAACTTAGGTTTAAGGCGTGTCAAAGATAACACAGTGTTGTTTAACAGTCATAAACCGAAGTATATCAGCAAAATCAACACAAAACTGACATCTAATTGGTGGCAGCCAAAACTGAAACAATGAAAACACAAATGTTCCCCTATGATATACACACAAGCCCTGACACTTTTCTTTTTTTCTTTTTTTTTTGCTGGGCCTATGTCGGGCCAACGTGAAAAGAAAAAAATCTTCTAAAAATTCTTTATTTTTCATAAGGAAATGATACATACCTCTGTATTTGGAGTAGAGGTCGCTGAGTCTGATTATGAGACACAAAAAATAAAAAGTCCTGTTATTAAAATGCGATTTTCACTCAGCACTTGCTTTCATCTTCACATAGTAACATTTACCTGTACATTGGAAGTTTGTTTTGTAAATCTTGTAAACTGAGAACGCCAAAAAAACAACCAGGATGGAGGTGAGCGCCAAAGCTCCACTCAAGAAGTACACCAAGACAACAGAGCTCACATCATCTGCAGAGAGTTGGACACCAGGAAACATAACAGAGCTTTTAGATTTCTATCTTAGTGATGATTAAAGGACATAAATAGATATTTTCAAACAATGCTGACATGCTCATTTGTACACTGAATGGTTTATGGGTCATTGACATGTGAAGCCTCACATCGGCCTTGGCTGAACTTTGAAATGCATATATTGAATTTTTTTTTTTTTATTTCAGCATTTTATGACTTTTTATTGGATAGTGCAGTGGAGAAAGGAAGTGGAGGGAGAGAGAGAAGGGGGATTACATGCAAAAAAGGGTCGTTGCACACGGCATATGAGCCCATCCGTGTGGTAGGCGCCCTAATCATTTGGCCATCAAGTCACCCCCTTGAAATGCATATTTGATGGAAACAAGGACTTACAGTTACAACATTCAGTGAAATAGCGCCAGGAAGGAATTGCTTAATGGCCACTGTGGGCATGAGGAATTATTACACCAATAACTCTTGTTAAGTGCTGTATTAAGATAGACCTAAAAGACACACTATTTGTCAAATGGGCAGCCCCTGGTAGAAGGTTACTTACCCTCAAAGTCCAGCTTGGTCCCGTCTCCAAACAGTATGTGTCCACATGAGGCAACAGCACAGTAGTAGGTCCCAGCATGAGAACGGTTCAGGCTCTGCATCGGCAAGTTGTAATCACAAGTGTGTGGTTGTGTGTTAGATTTCCTCTCACACTGATCATTCCTGTCTCCATGAGTGTAAATGAGTCCTGGATGAGATTCTTCAGAGTCTTTGAACCAGTAAACACTGTGTTCTCCATCACAGGTCCCAGTGTGAACTGTACAGTTGAGAGTCACAGAGCCTCCTGGCTGGATGGTCTCAGACCCTGACTGATGGACCCAAGCTTGGACGTTCAAACTTGAATCTTGCACAGTGACAGTCGTGCCGTCACAAAATTCAAACTCATATAAGTTGCTACGTACACAGTAGTAAGTAGCTGAGTCTGAAATGTGCAAATGTGATATCCTCAAGTTATTTTCCTTGTTTCCAGTGTACAGTGAGAAACGTGGATCGTTAAATTCACCGGTAAAGGTGCCGTTGTTGTTATGTTTATAGAATGTAGACATCAGCTTTGGCTTCTGGCCCAGAGTTTGCTTATACCAGTAAAACATCACTGCCTCATTTTCCTGACAGACGCACTGCAAAGTCACACTGTCCCCAACAATAGCTGATTCAAAATGTAATGATGATTTTTTCATAGCTGTCAAATGAGCTGCAGGAGAAGAGACAAGGCAAATACACAAGTCATTCATCTGGATTACAGAAAGCATGAAAACATGCAAACATGGTTTAAAGCACACAACAAGCAGTCACGAAAACAAAGCTCACCCATATTTGCCAAGAATAGGCATGTGAAATACACAGCAAAGCTTGGAGGTGTCATCGTGCTTCAAATGCTGAGATGAATGACTGAATCTCTTTACGTTCTCCACCCTTCACAGAGAAGACTGAGTGTGACTGGCCAATCAGATTGAACATCCTATTTTGGGAACACTGAACACATGATCAGTGCCGCCTACCCTGGCAATTTTTTGTCCTTGAGAAGAGCTTGATCAACATCACTATTTGTTGATTTGATAACAACCTGCAATATATATGTAGACGTAAAGTATTTGAAATAATGACTTTTAAGATAGAGACTCAGCAGCTTGATCAGTAGTTCAGGACATTTCTTTCAAAGTAAAAGTCCAAAGTATCAGTAATACAAAGTGTTTAACAGGTAAATGTTGGCAATAAACGAATGGCTTGATGGTCATATTAAAATGAAATAGACATCTGAACACTTTAATAACTTACATCACGCTTCAACCTATATTACTTACTAATGTGTATATAGAGTATGTAAGATGTGACATGTGACCACAGTGAGCACCTATCCTCAGGGAAAATGAGATCATTTTGGGATTTGGTGACAAAACTTCAGGCAAAAAGGAATATGAAATATATTTTACACTTAACTGTATATAAAGGCATGTGTGGTTTTTATGGCAATGGCTGCCCTGGTGATTGGAAGACATTGCCAAGAAACTGTGCTGATTTGTTGTAGATGTTTGCAACACTTTTTTTGTGAACTCCCAAAGACAGCCTCTTATTTTGGTGGGCGTAGAGATGATATAATAACTGTTTTGTTCCAAAATTTCTAATGAACATTAGATGACTAAAACTGTTATAGAGGAGAGCACTAGTTAACATAAGATGGCTCTCGCTCTCTTACCTACCTGCATTATCACCAGCTGTGACATCGGGGCTGGTACTGTCTTCACCTTGTGAGTCCTCGTGTGTGTGTGTGTGTGTGTGTATGTCATGGCAAAATGTGCTCCTGGAGACACCTGCTGTAGGAGGAACCCCCACAGAGGGGCTCTTGAGTCTGGAGTACTATGGCAGGGGGGGTTATATGGACAGATTTGTCAATGGGATTTACAGGTGTGCAGTTGAGATCAAAATGAGTTTGAAGATGGGCGTGCACCGACTCATGAGCACTTAGTAAACATGTAATAACATAGTAATGAACACAGTGTACTCAGGTAATAATGTAGGCATAACCACTGAGTACTCATGAGCTGGAGCGTCAACATGTCGACAGGCATCACAGCAGATCTGATGTCCTCCAGGTTACGTTTCATTACATGAGCCTTCAGTTCTTTTGTCGTGGGGGCTTGTATTTCAAATTGGTGTGTGCACAGCACGTTATCTGAATTTTACACAGCTGCCTTTGAACAATGACTTGTTTTTGCTCTTGACTTTCTGCCCGAGCTGCTGTGCACTGTGGCCTGGAGGCCACAGGCCAGTCTTCCTGCGTTTGAGCGAAAGAGTTAAGTTTCCACCAGTGGAAACCCGTACACAGTAGTTCACACCCTTGTCACCACAGAAGTCAAAACAAAAGTCAAACGCTGAGAGCTGGCTAGAGAGCCACTTACGTTTCCGCTTAGAAGAGGGTAATAATAGATCAAAAGGGACTTTTGAGCTTTACATATCAATGTCTGCATCCACTGCTGTTGTAGATGACAATCTTTTTGTGGTGGCCTTTAGCATATACATTTTACTTTAGACACCCACTGCGCCTTTGATACAAGTTTTCAGCTGAACCTTGTTTTATTAACAAACTGCAGTTACTTTCTACTTTTATTCTGAAATTACAGAGTTCTTAGTGATATTCTTGTTATTCACAGTGTTACTTTTGTGACTTTCTGCTTGCTTCATTTTGTCACCACCAATAGTGACTACTTACTTTAGTCTTCAGCAACAGACTTTCTGTCAATGATGACGTCCTCACTTTAAATTAAAGGGTCAGTTCACTCAAGTCACTCACTGACCACTTTATGTTTTAGGGTTTGAGGTTTTGAGATATGCATCTTTGAGATTCATGCTGTCACTGCTCCTTGAGATTCACAGATTTCATTTGAGCTGCTCAAAGCTTTGAAAAATGACTTTTGGTATCACATTGACCAACTTTTCTTGGAACTACTTTACTCTGAAGAAATAGTCCCCACGGGAAATGCTCACTGTGAGGTGAATGAATTGTCCTAGGATCCTGAGCATAGCAAACGTGTTTTCATGTGTACGAGCTTGCAGTCTCGTACTTCCCCGTTTTTACTGGTGAGTGACAGCATATATTTGTAGATTAGTAGAAGAGTGTAACACTATTGAATGTGTGTTCACATTCATGTACTCGTGCTGGAGATAAACAAAACTGAAACCCACTCATGGGACAGTAGTCCCACAGACACATACAGAGGTTTAAAATCGCACTGGGAACCTTTCAGGGAAACTTACAGGAACATTCTTCTGATCCTCTGTGACGGTTTTAGTATTTTCATTAGACCCAAAAGCAGCAGACAGACAAGGTGAGCGGGTTTAAGGTTGTTTAATGAAAAGATGGTAAGGGAAGGGGAAACTGGGGGCTAGAATACATAGCCTGTGGTTGGCTCTGAGCCTCTCGTCTGATTTTGACAGACCAGGCCATGAGGCACTGCCGTTGGCTGAGGTGTTACACAACCTGATGATCGTGGGGACAAAGGTTCTCCTGAACTTCTCAGTCCTGAGCTTCCTGAGGAAATGGCATCCGTTCAGGGACCAGTCCAGTTTACTGTCCAGGTGCACACACAGGTATTTATAAGTGTGCACCACCTCGATGTCCTGCTCTCGAATGTTGACTGGCTGAAGGGTGGGCCTACACCTCCTAAAGTCCACGACCATCTCCTTGGTCTTGGAGGTGTTCAGAAGGAGGCAGTTCTTGTCGCTCCATTCACTGAAGGCCATCGTCAGATCCCTGTACTCCTCTTCCTGCGCGTTCCTGATACGCGCCACAGCAGCTGTGTCATCCGAGTGTTTCTGGATGTGGACTCACGGTTATATAAAGTTCGCCGCGTACAGGGTGAACAGCGGCTAAAACTCGTTTTGATTACGGCAGCACATCGCTCAGCTTCTGTGCCGGTGCTCCTGCTGCTTCTCTAAACTGGTAGTGTGCTGATCTCAATCTACTGCAGGGAATACACTGACTGTAGATAAGTACCTCACACAACCCCATGTTAAATAACCCAGACTATCACTTTAAATGAATTACTCCCCACATGTATGCTCCATGCTTTCGGGCATGTCCAACCGGGAGGAGGCCTCGGGGGCCGACCAAGGACACGCTGGAGGGATTATATCTCTCGGCTGGCCTTGGAACGCCTCGGGATTCTCCCGGAGGAGCTGGTGGAAGTGGCTGGGGAGAGGGCCGTCTGGACCTCTTTGCTGAGGCTGCTGCCCCCCGCGACCTGGATCCGGATAAGCGGGAGACGACGAAGACGAAGACAAAGACGAAGACGAAGAAGATGTATGCTCCAGCGTCTTCACATGTTGCTGCTGATACACTCAGATTTGATTGAATGATGAAAATCATCAGCAAATTGAGCTACAGTCTCTTCCCTGCAGTAAATTTGTACCGCACACTAGGTGGATCTCCGAGCTTCACTGGCTTTGTGTGTGAAGGTGCTCATGAATAGCTTCCAGGTGGGTTTTGGGAGCTGGAAAACAACTAGAAAGTACAGCATCATCTCATCTGCTTGTCTGGCTCTGCTTCTTCTGTCACAGCAGTCTGACCTACACTGACGGAGCAGATTTCACCAGCACCAACTTGTCCTACATTCCAGCACGTCCGTCAAGGCTGATTGGTTCATCATCCTCAACTTGCAGAACATTGATTGGCTGCTGAGACGCTGAACTTTATGTGGTTTTTCAGCAGCTGTGGTTTCATTTCAGATGTCATAGTGAGTGTGCAGACCTCTGCGGCAGCAACATGACTAACATGAAACATGATGGATGGAACACAAAATGCAAAAGTCCCTGTTCTGTGCAAAAATGCATGTGAATTTCTCTCTTTACTCCCTCCACTGCAGCTCAGGGAGGGAAAAACCAAAGGAATATTTTGTACTAACTAAGGACTGAAACACAACTCACTTATTTATTAACCCAAAACCAAACATGTCAGATAGAAGAAAAACTCTGCAGATGTCCTCATGTCGAAATTGCTGTGCCGAATGAATTAAAAAATAAGACTTGTACTGATTGGTCAACAAGTCGGCGCTGATCACATGCTCACTGCCAACCGTGATGTCCAGTTTTGTCCCTTAAGAAGAATCACGTGGTGATTGAGAGACGTATCGCGTCTCAAAAATCATTGAAAAGTGGATGACCTCTGCTTGTACAGCAGAGGAGATTAGCCTCAGCTTGCTATGTTGTATTCACCACATGTGTATATTTCTTTAAAGATTGTTTTTATGGCATTTCTGCTTTATTTTGTAACAACGGTAGAGATGGACAGGAAAGTCAAGGGAGAGAGAGAGAGAGAGAGAGGGGATGACGTGCAGCAAAAGTCCCGGGCAAAAAAACCTGCCAAGTACACCAACACAGCACGGCAGCAATTTGCAATATAACCTGTATCATTTAATGAGGAACATAAATATTCCCAAACCCTATGATTTTGTGCAGTTTTTCCATTAATTGATATACGTAATATGTGTGGTTGTACGAGGACAATTATGAGAACTGACCGTGTCACATAAAAAATAAATAATGCAGCTGTCGTCGTACGCTGAAAATCCCCTCTTCATGCCTTTAAATTCTGGGAAATACAATGTGTGATTTCTTCTCCTAACTCTGACTTATCTTATTTTATTAATAATCTTTACTTTATTTATCAGGCACGTTTCAAAAACAAGTTTGCAAAATGTTTCACAGACATGAAAGCAGAGAAATATATAAATACATTTATAGGTTTGTGGGTGCACGCACACACATAAACACACGCACACATTTACGAAACTTTACAAAACCATAAAGAGATTTTATCACTACGCCAGTGAGCACATGCCAAAAGGTTTGCGGCTTGTAATCAACACAATTACAAATTCAATTGCAGCATTAATGATTATAAACATACACTCATTATTTGCCTTTTTCCAAGGCTGCAAACACCTTTATCTTCATCCATCATTTTGCAGCCTGCAGTGTAAAATCTTTCACGTGCACCTCAAATCTTCATATATTGTCACTGGAAAAGCTTCTGCAGTTAGTTCATAACAAGGCAAAGCACTTGAAACGACATAATTAAAGCCGTGCCCTGTCACAGAGACAAAGCTTCACCGCTTTACACTGGAGTACACACATCCATCCTCTGTGTCACCCCTTAGTCTTCTCGATCTGTTGGACTTCTTTACGTTTAAAGCAGCATAATGGAGGTTTTCTTCATCTTTGCAACTCTGGTAACGACAATATCAAACAATAAATCAAAATGTGGCGCATGATATACTGCATTTAAGAAATATTTGCATTGGAATCATTTTGAATGTACGAATCTACAGACAGAAAGAAAGTACCTCTGCATTCATTGTGGAAGAAGCTGGAAATCCTGCACGAGATCCTGAAAAACAGTGGAAAGCGCGTTTCTATGATGTCATATTCAGCAAGTACACAATATAGATACGAACAATAGCATTTACCTGAATTATGGCAGCCGTTTCTCTTACTTATCGTGTACATAAAGAAAGCCAGTAAAACGCTCAGGATGGTAGTGAATGCCAAGGCGCTGCTCAAGAAATACACCAGTACAAGAGAATCCCCCTCATCTGCAGAGAGACAGACATGAGGAGGCTGTGTTCATCTTCCATTTAATTATAATATAATCATAAGTATTTATCAGCTCAAACAACTTCTACTAGAAAGTGACTCACCCTCAAAGTCCAGCTCGGTCCCATCTCCAAACAGTATGTGTCCACATGAGGCAACAGCACAGTAGTAGGTCCCAGCATGAGAACGGTTCAAGTTCTCCATCGGCAAGTTGTAGACACAGGTTTGTGTTTGTGGTTTCCTCTCACACTGATCATTCCTGTCTCCATGAGTGTAAATGAGTCCTGGATGAGATTCTTCAGAGTCTTTGAACCAGTAAACACTGTGTTCTCCATCACAGGTCCCAGTGTGTACTGTACAGCTGAGAGTCACAGAGCCTCCTGGCTGGATGGTCTCAGATCCGGACTGATGGACCAAAGCTTGACTGATCAGTCCTGAACCCTGTACACTGACAGTAGCTCCTTCCCCAAATTCAAATGTTACTGAATGGCTACTTGCACAGTAGTAAGTAGCTGAGTCTGACGTGCGTAAATCTGAGATCCTCAAATGATTTTTACCGGTTCCAGTGTCCAGTGTGAAGCGTGGATTGTTCTCGTATTCATCATAAAAAGTGCCATTTTTATTATACGTGTAGAAGCTAGAGATGAGCTTCGGTTTCTCTCCCAAAGTTTGCTTGTACCAGTAATACCTTGCTACCACCCCGTCGTCATAGAAACATTGCAAAATTATACTTCGGCCAACATGAGTTGATATAAAACCACTCTCTTGGCGAACAGATGAGGAAAGAACATTCATCTGAGCTGCAGTGACAGGAGAGATGAGGCAAACACAAAATTAATTCTTCATGATAACTATGAAAGGTTTTGAATAAATAAGAAGCAATCACACCTAGAGTGACCAAACTCTATAAAAGTTAGAACAGCCAAAGAAAAAAAAAAACTCACCCATTTTGCACAAGAACAAACATGCCACATATAAAACCAACTCTGGAGAAGTCATCGTGTTCAAATAGCTGACTGGACTGAAAAGAGTCTTGATTTTTTTCTCCCTCTTCACAGACAAGACTGTGTTTGATTGGCCAATCTGAAATGACTATGTCCTGTTAAAGAAACATGATCACATGTTCACTACCACCTAGTTTTCCATGATGAGAGATCTATGAATTACTTTTCAACTTGGCATTAGATTTAAAATCGCCAAAATATAATAGAATGCTCATCCTCACTCATGTAACACTGTACTGATCTCACTTTGGGTTCTATTCTACATGCTTGGTTAATATTTAGTTTCTTTAAAAGTACAGAAAAGGCAAAAAAAGTATAACAACTTGGTAATGCTGGTCATCCAATAGGTGGCAATACGGGTCTTTTTTATCAACCTCTTCTTAAGACCCCCTCTGGTTAAAATCCCTTTTTTAACCTTGTTAACATGTCCACATGGTCTTTTTATATAATACATAATATAATATAATACAAGACATATCATGTGCGTAATAAACAGTCAACGCCATGACTGAGCGTTTCCCCCTTGAACTACAGGGAACCAACGACAGTCTCATAAAAACAGATTCAGACAGCCAGGGTTTCATACGTCACAAACTTAAGGAACCAATCCTGTCAACTTGTGGGGACAGGGGGCGGGGCTAAATAAACCCGAAACCTTGTCAGTACAGAGAGAGAGAGTTAGCATTAGCACAACCACTAACACTGTGTCAGCCACCCCATTTTGTGACTTGTCTGATTGTGGAGCTGCTTGGGGACAAACCCACGGCTGAGGAACAACTGGTTATTACCGCCAAGATCCACAACAACAGGGATCTAGTCAACATTCTCAAGCACCCCTTCGGTTTTGACGCCTGGGTGTACGTCTTTCCTGACTTCATGACCGCAGCCTTTCAACCATGTCAGGAAGATGTTAACAGCAGCCAAGCCAAGGGTACTGTCCATTTCCCAGCCAAGTGTCATGTTGATTACAACTCCTCCTGCCGACACCAAATAGTTTCTTAATTCCTTAGAGATTCACACTTGACTTTTGTTATATCTAATTAATTTAGGGATGACGTGGATGCATGAAGCTCCCAAGATTAGAGGAAGAAGGCATGTTTTTTATATCACCTCCTTATTTAGAAGATACACTACCAGTCAATGTATTCTCTTGTATTGCAGATCGTGCTCTAGAAGCCTATATGTTTCTGTGTTCCCCCAACTGATTTTGAAACAAAGTTATACTACCTGCTATACTAATGATAGAACTGATAGATTTTTTATACAGAGGAGACAGACACAGGGTTGTTGTTGTTGTTGTTGGATGGGTTTTGTTATTTCTTTGCTTTAGAAAGGACTTCACTTTACACTTTTAATGAATACATGCTTGATTTTCATTTTGTGTCATTTGGCATGTTCAGACTAAGCCTGTTTGCCGGTTCAGGGGAAGCCAGGTTATGTTTACTTCTTTGAACTGTAAAGGTCTTGGTGCTGCACTCAAACAAGGTAAATATTGACCCACTTAAAATGATTATCTATAGTACTTTTCTTTCAGACAAATGAAACCAACACTGAAGTGCCAAAAACTGCAGTTCCTCTAATGACCACTTGAGGCTGGCTCCAAAAGTCCCCATAGACTCCCATGTTAAAATGCCCAACTTCACAGCAGAAAGAAACATGTTTACAGTCTGGTACAAAAACGGTTTTGATGTCTAAAGCTAATTTCCGCCTTCGCCAGGGAGTTAGGCGGAGTCAGGTGCCGTCACTATGGCGACAGCAGAGCAGCCCACTCTGAGCTTCAAAACTGCTCTTCAGAAACCTGAGAGGTGACGTCACATAGGCTCCATCTTATCGTGTCAGTTCACATTTTTGTCACCACACTAGTAGAGAGCATTTTGTGGTTTGTGGGCTCTCTCTCTCTCTCTCTCTCTCGCTCGCTCACACACACACACACACACACACACACACACACACACACACACACACACACACACACGCACACGCAGACACACACACAAAGAATGTACTGCACCGTTGGTGATAGAGATGTGGCTTTGAAGCACATTTTATTGAAACGTCTAGCTTGAAGGTCAAGGAAGTTGGTAGGTAGGCAGACTCGGCAGACATCTTGATTTCTCAGAGGTGAATATTTTATTTACAGTGCTCCCCATTACATACAACACAAGATAAAAATCCAACTGCTTATAGAGAGTGTTCAGTTCTCACCTAGACTTCTGCAGGAACCACAACAAGGCAGGTTGACCAACAGCAATATTAATACAAAGAAATCAACTAATATTCTTGAACTCCTTTATGAATACATTTACATTTCTAAGAGCCTCTATACAAGGTAAATAATCCAGATTACTCTTGAACGCATAAATCAAACAAAAGAAACCCTCCATTTGGTTTGGCTCACTTATGTCAGCCATGACATCACCAACACCATAAAAAACAGGAAATGCTGTGCTTGTCTTTGTTTGATGAGTTTATTGGAAAGCAAGGCTTTACAAAACTTGACAAAAGCCATATTTTACTTTAAAAGGGGCGCAGAATCTATAACCATGACAAACACAGATAAAGAAAGAAACGTGCTCAGCTCTGCTGCTTTACACTGAAGTACACACATTCACTCCAGGTGTCCTTCAGTCTTCTTCGCCTGATGATCTCGTTCTCCTTTAAAACATTGTAATAGATATCATCTTCATTTTGGGAACCCTGGTAATGAAAGTGTGAATTACAAAGTGGTCCATGACAGAAACAAAGAACATAAAGAGTGTGGTGCTATAAAACCAGTAGTAGGGTTTTACATCTAAGAAGAAAATACCTCTGCATTGTTCTTGGAGGGATCAGAAAATCTCACAGAAGACTCTGAAAAACAAAAGGAAACCCTTCTTTTTTATCACGTCACATTCAGTAAATACACATTATATATCTGCATATAAAACAATTTACCTGTATAGAGGCAGTTTCCTCTCATGCTGATCACACACACTGAGAAAGCCAGTAACACGATGAGGATGGTGCTGAACCCGAGAGCCCCACTCAGCAAATACACAAGAGAGTCCTCATCTGCAAATTCAGACACCAGAGAACATTACAGGGCTTTTAGCTGTGTTCATCCCATGTGGGAATAATATATTTCTATGAACTTCTGATATAAAGTGACTTACTCTCAAAGTCCAGCTTGGTCCCGTTTCCAAACAGTATGTGTCCACATGAGGCAACAGCACAGTAGTAGGTCCCAGCATGAGAACGGTTCAGGCTCTGCATCGGCAAGTTGTAATCACAAGTGTGTGGTTGTGTGTTAGATTTCCTCTCACACTGATCATTCCTGTCTCCATGAGTGTAAATGAGTCCTGGAAGAGATTCTTCAGAGTCTTTGAAGCAGTAAACACTGTGTTCTCCATCACAGGTCCCAGTGTGAACTGTACAGCTGAGAGTCACAGAGCCTCCTGGCTGGATGGTCTCAGACCCTGACTGATGGACCCAAGCTTGGACGTTCAAACTTGAATCTTGCACAGTGACAGTCGTGCCGTCACAAAATTCAAACTCATATAAGTTGCTACGTACACAGTAGTAAGTAGCTGAGTCTGAAATGTGCAAATGTGATATCCTCAAGTTATTTTCCTTGTTTCCAGTGTACAGTGAGAAACGTGGATCGTTAAATTCACCGGTAAAGGTGCCGTTGTTGTTATGTTTATAGAATGTAGACATCAGCTTTGGCTTCTGGCCCAGAGTTTGCTTATACCAGTAAAACATCACTGCCTCATTTTCCTGACAGATGCACTGCAAAGTCACACTGTCCCCAACAATAGCTGATTCAAAATGTAATGATGATTTTTTCATAGCTGTCAAATGAGCTGCAGGAGAAGAGACAAGGCAAATACACAAGTCATTCATCTGGATTACAGAAAGCATGAAAACATGCAAACATGGTTTAAAGCACACAACAAGCAGTCACGAAAACAAAGCTCACCCATATTTGCCAAGAACAGGCATGTGAAATACACAGCAAAGCTTGGAGGTGACATCATGCTTCAAATGCTGAGATGAATGACTGAATCTCTTTACGTTCTCCACCCTTCACAGAGAAGACTGAGTGTGACTGGCCAATCAGATTGTAAGTCCTATTTTGGAAACACTGAACACATGATCAGTGCCCCTCCTGTGTCTGCATAGACATACAGCATTTGAAATAATGACGAGACTCAGCAGTTTGAACAGTAGTTTAGGACTTAAATGGCTTTCTTTCAAAGTAATAGTCAAAAACACATACACATATGTACTGTATATACACAATGAATTTCCATATAAATAGATAGAGAGATACTTTATTTATCCCCTAGGGGAAATTAATGAAATATATGAAATATATGTACATATAAACTAGTTTGTACTTTGTACTAAAGAACTTTGTTTCCTTGAATAGAATCACATGGTGAGAGGTAAATGGAGAATATAATGAATTCCTCATGTTGGCAATAGATTTTGAATCAATCTAAACTAAAATGATCTGTATTAGCACCAGTAACAGGACGCAGTGGAGCTCCCTTCTGTCTAACCTTAACAGACATCTGTATTGGACCTAAAATAAATCATAATTGAGGGTGTGGCCACTTTGAGTGACAGGTCGATGCCGTCACAGTTGGCTAGCCGCTAGAGTTGGGGTCACTGAACTTGACCTCTTGGTCGCGTTTGTGATGTTTGTGCCTTACGGAGGATTTTTCATGCAAATATCAGCCAAGTACAGTGAAATGTCTTGCACAACGCACACACACAGACACATGCTCATCTATCACCAGACATACGTACTGGCTCAATTAGACTATTTCATTCCATGAACATCCTTCAGCTCGCCGGGAGTAATCCATTTATCACAGTGTTGAGGGAGAGAAAAGATAGAATGAGTGTGCCTTTAAGGTTTAAACTCTCATAAAGTATTGATTGACTTTTTTAATCTGGTCTTTCCCTGTTCTTCCATACGCATGTGATCTGTGGTACTGCACCTTCCATGAAACACACACACACACACACACACACACACACACACAAAAATGCTATAAGAACCGAGAGCTACATGATTAAAGACTGTCATCATCCTCTCCTCCATCTTTTCCCCACAATTGCTCGCACACACACAAAGACTCACACACAGACTCTTATAAGTTGTTGCATGGCAAAAGCACAGTCGTTGCTACAGAGCCAATTACACACTCACACCACAGTAAATAACTCTGGGGGTCACCTACGTCAGCTGAGGTTGACAGTGTGACTAACCAGTAATCTTCTATAACAAGCAGCAGATGGACAGGGGTCAGAGTCAGGCTTTATCTCCTACGCTTTATTAACCTTAAAGAAAACACATCAAAACATTAAGACAAAACTTTTCTTTGGGGACTGAGGTTAACAACTTTACATAGCGACTAGAAGAGCAAACCAAACAGAGGTGATAAGTGCTCTGGCCTAGATTGTACGAGTCCTCTTTGTGCCTTCCAGCACAGTGTCAGCAGTATGGTTACTTATGCATGCAGCCTGGTCAGGGCTGCAAAGTAAAAGCCATCTTCTAATGATGACATCAAATAACATCAAACTGTTTTTCTAAACTTAGTTATTCAACTTATTATGTAGTAAATGATGCACAGTGTAATGGTAGCAGGATAATATACCATTAGCATTTAGATTTATTTCCTCATTTTATTTATAACACTACATGGTATTTAACTGCAGGTGTTTACTGTGACAAAATTGTGTACTATTATGCATATACGACTATGAGATATTCATCATCTCCACAAACATGAATTTATTCATCAGCTTCTCTTTCAGCATATTTGGGTTGTTCTTTATCCATATCTGAAACTTTACACGTCCCACACCACAAGACGAATATTAACAGATATTTATCTCAATATCTACAGATAAATGTACATTACACACTAAAAGAGATTCTGCAAATTCTCCATTTTACTCACAAAGTAGAAATGAAACACGTCCAGTTCTACTGCCTAACACTGGAGTACACACATTCAGTCTTGGCGTTGTCCCTCTGTCTGCTTGATCTGTTGGGCAGTTTCACATTTAAGGCAGCGTAATGGAGATTGTCTGCATCTCGGTAACCCTGGTAACAAAATTTGTGAAATCAGATTATAATATGGACCCTGACAAAAATTAAAACTGTTTCAAAGCAACAAGTGAATATTGCAGTAGAAATGTGTTGCAATACAATGCAGTTCAACAGGTAAATTTCACTGACAGAAATTTCAACAAGGCAAACTACTTCAGCAAAAAAAAAAGTGTTTAAATTTAAATTTAACAGTTAATCTAAAGAGATTAAATTTACCTCTGCATCTGCTCTGGAGGATGAAGATCTTGTTTGTGTCTCTAAAACACAAGAACAATAATTTGACTGAAAAGCCAAACTGACTGAAAACAAGCTGTCAGATATACACACTATCTATGAGCTGTACCTGATAGGAAGCTGTTTGTTTTCTTCATCTTGTAAATTAAGGAAGCCAGTAAAACAACCAGGATGGTGGTGAACGCCAAAGCTCCGCTCAAGAAATACACCAAGACAAGAGAGTGTTCCTCATCTGCAGAGCCAAACATCAGAAACACAGCTTTCAGTGGTTTTCCCATTTTCATCTGCTAGACCGCAGCTAGAAAAGTGACTTACCGTCAACGTCCAGCTCGGTCCCGTTTCCAAACAGTATGTGTCCACATGAGGCAACAGCACAGTAGTAGGTCCCAGCATGAGAAAGATTCAGGCTCTTCATGGGCAAGTTGTAGACACAGGTTTGTGTTTGTGTCTCAGGTTTCTTCTCACACTGATCATTCCTGTCTCCATGAGTGTAAATGAGTCCTGGATGAGATTCTTCAGAGTCTTTGAACCAGTAAACACTGTGTTCTCCATCACAGGTCCCAGTGTGTACTGTACAGTTGAGAGTCACAGAGCCTCCTGGCTGGATGGTCTCAGACCCTGACTGATGGACCGAAGCCTGGATGTTCAAACCTGAACCCTTCACACTGACAGTAGCTCCCTCAGCAAATTCAATTACAAGTGAATTTTTTTTGGCGCAGTAGTAAGTGGCTGAGTCTGATATACGCAGATCTGTTATTTGTAAGTGATTTTTACCGGTTCCAGTGTCCAGAGTGAAACGTGGATTATTCTGGAATTCATCATGAAAACTTCCATTTGTATTAGAAGCATAAAGGGTCGAGAGGAGCCGTGGTTTCTGTCCCACACTTTGCTTGTACCAGTAAATCCTTGGTAAATCAGCATTGTCAAAGAAACATTGTAAAGTCAAGCTTTCACCAACATTAGCTGATACAAAACTTCTCTCTTGACGAACAGATGAGGAGAATTTCTGATCAGTCGCCTGAACTGATGAGGAATGAGAGACAAAGCAAAGGCACATAATGAACACATGAAAACATTTCAAAGATTCAAACTGCATCACACAAACACAACTCACCCATTCTCCCCAAGAACAAACATGTCAGACAGAAGACAAACTGTGCACATGTCATCCTGCTCGAATTTTCTGGCTGAGTGGAAAGAATCTTGATCTTTTCTTCACTTTTGACAAAACAAGACTGTGTTTGATTGGCCGACTGAAGTGACACTGTATGTCCAAATATGGAAACTTGATCCACATGTTTACTGCCACCACCAGTGTGAATTGTTTCCTTGAATAGAATCACATGGCGAGAGGTAAATGAAGAACAAAAATGGTTCTCATGTTTGGCAAAAGATCTTGAATCATCTAAAATAAATGTCTGCATTTACATCAGTTAGAGAGCATTGCAGATGCAGCTCACTTCTGGTTTAACATGGTAACGGACTCATGATGTTCATATGTATGTGTGTGTGTGGTGTGTGCAGGTGAGATGTGTCGTTGTTATGGTTCTTTTTGTGAATGGTTACAGCTTACCACAGATCAATTCACATGCATGTGTATGAAAGAACGGAATAGGACCAAATAAAAAAGTCTATTTGCAATAGTCAAAAGTCTCAGGCAACCCACCCCAAAAACCACGTTTTCTTCTCTCTCCTATACACTGTTAAAATGAATGGATTACTTTGGCGAGCTGAAGAATGTCAAGAAATTAAAAATGTGTTGAAGGCAGAAGTAAAGTAAGAGTGGTGAAAGATGAGGGTGGTATATGTGTGGTGTGTGTGTGTGTGTGTGTGTGCGTGTTTCTGCGTGTGTTGGTAATTTGTTGTCATCAGAGCCTCTTAAAAAGTTGTCCAGCAGAATAAATGTTCCATTCTGTAATAGTATCAGTGTGCACTGACCATAGAATGTATATAAAGATGGACTTAGCCTCTGTGATATCACCCACTTTCTGATGAGTGGTTTTCAAGCTCAGAATGAGCTGCTCTGCCGTTGCCGTCTTGGCAGTGCCTGTTGCTTGACTCCCAGCTAATCCAAAAATGGGTAAGGAGGTGGGGCGTGTGGAGCTGAGACTTCAGTGTATACCGGTTTGATAACTGCAATATGCTCCCGTTAGCATTATCAGCACAGCTGGGCATCTTACTTGAAGTTGAACCAATAGGTAATTAATTTGCTGGCCATTCAGGTAGTTAGCAACCTAAGCTAACAAGCAAGGTATGATGAGCTAAGACCTGCTAATCAGTGATAACATATATGCAAAATAATTTGAGAATTTAATTCCCCTCAAAATACAGGAGCACAGACTTCCTCACATTCTTTTAGTCAATTCCCTGCACAGCAAGACATATTATCTGTCAGATATTTCATGAAAACTCCTCCATAAGGATCTAATAGCAGAAATGCAACCGAGAGGTGACGTTTATTGACTCCATTCAGCTGAGGTGATGCCCAGCAGACTCTGGTTTAAGACTCTGGTTATCCTCTCCTCCACCTTTTCCCCACAACTGTAACGGGGTGTGATAGGACCCAATTGTAGCACAACCAAACAGATGGATAGTTGGAAATGACCTTTATTGATATACCAGCAGAGAGAACACACACAGGTGGGTATGAGGAGTCGAGGATGTGGTTCGGGGCTGGACAGGCAGAACTTGGTCAGGGACAGAAGGCCAAGGTATTTACCGGGGCAGAGACGAGGAAGGATGGTCAGGCGCGAGCAGAGTCGAAAACAGGAAGTCAGTCCGGAAATAATCGATGGAAAGTCAAGCATGACGCTGAGAACAATCTGGCAAGGAGCGAGTGAACCGGGGATGTATATATATTGGTCTGATTGGGGATCGACGGCAGCTGGGGGCAACAGGTGAAGACAGTGAAGCTGATTAGGAGGTGTGGCAGAGTGGAGAGTGAGAAATCGGCACAGCAGGCTGTGACAAAAACTGCTTGCGCAAACATATAATGATTTTGTCAAGACCCGCCAAGTTACTTGAGTTCAGGGTTCTTTGTCTTTATTGTTTCCCTGTGTTTCCTGTTTTATTTTGGTAACCATTGTCTTGTCTCGTTTCTGATCCCACGTCCTGTCAAGTTTCCCTCCTGTGTGATTACCTGCCCCGCCCTAATGTGTTTCACCTGTGTCTAATTGTCTCCCCTGCCTTAGCGTATTTAAGTCCTTGTCTTCCCCTCATGTGCTGCCAGATCGTCTTTACCCCCGTGTGAGCGTTCCAGCATTTTCTCATGTATTCCCTCGTGTTTGTGTGATTTTGCCTGTTTTTTGACCAGTGAGTTTTGCCTGACGGTTTTGATACTTTTGCCATATTGACTGATCACCTGCGTACCGATTTTAGGACTGATTAAAACTTTGAACCCGACCCTCGTCTGAGTCTGTTTTGTGGGTCCACATCCAGTACGTGCTTGACAGATTTATAAACTCCTATAACCTGTTGCATGATAGAAGCACAGCCATTACCATTGACAATTACACATTATTGCCAATTACACACTCACAAATGAGTAAATACCTCTGGGGTCACCTAACTCGACTTGTCGATGGTGTGACTCCTCCCAGTAATTGTCTAACAAGCAGCAGATTGACAGGGGTCAGAGTCAGGCTGTATCTCCTGGCCTTTATTAACTTTAAAGAAAGTAAGTCACAATGTGAAGACAAAACTTTTCTTTGGGGACTTTACATAGCGACTAGAAGAACAAACCAAACAGAGGTGATAAGTGCTCTGGCCTAGATTGTACGAGTCCTCTTTGTGCCTTCCAGCACAGTGTCAGCAGTATGGTTACTTATGCATGCAGCCTGGTCAGGGCTGCACAGTAAAAGCCATCTTCTAATGATGACATCAAATACTCTTACAGTAATTTAGAGAATTTTCTATGAACGTAGTTCTTCAAATTATTATGTAGTAAATGATGCACAATGTAATGGCTACAGAATAATAAACCATTTGCGTTTAGATTGATTCCCTCAGTTTATTTATAACACTACATGGTATTTAACTGCAGGTGTTTACATTCATTTATTCATCAGCTTCTCTTTCAGCATATTTGGGTTGTTCTTTATCCATATCTGAAACTTTATACGTCCCACACCACAAGAAGAATATTAACAGATATTTATCTCAATATCTACATATAAATGTACATTACACACTAAAGGAGATTCTGCAAATTCTCCATTTTACTCACAAAGTAGAAATGAAACACGTCCAGTTCTACTGCCTAACACTGGAGTACACACATTCAGTCTTGGTGTTGTCCCTCTGTCTGCTTGATCTGTTGGGCAGTTTCACATTTAAGGCAGCGTAATGGAGATTGTCTGCATCTTGGTAACCCTGGTAACAAAATTTGTAAAATCAGATTATAATATGGACCCTGACAAAAATTAAAACTGTTTCAAAACAACAAGTGAATATTGCAGTAGAAATGTTTTGCAATGCAATGTAGTTCAACGGGTAAATTTCACTGACGGAAAAGTTCAAAAATATCGACAAGACAAAGTAATTCAGAAACAAAACGGGGTTTCAATTTTCATTTAACAGTTAATCTAAAGAGATGAAATTTACCTCTGCATCTGCTCTGGAGGATGAAGATCTTGTTTGTGTCTCTAAAACACAAGAACAATAATTTGACTGAAAAGCCAAACTGACTGAAAACAAGCTGTCAGATATACACACTATCTATGAGCTGTACCTGATAGGAAGCTGTTTGTTTTCTTCATCTTGTAAATTAAGGAAGCCAGTAAAACAACCAGGATGGTGGTGAACGCCAAAGCTCCGCTCAAGAAATACACCAAGACAAGAGAGTGTTCCTCATCTGCAGAGCCAAACATCAGAAACACAGCTTTCAGTGGTTTTCCCATTTTCATCTGCTAGACCGCAGCTAGAAAAGTGACTTACCCTCAACGTCCAGCTCGGTCCCGTTTCCAAACAGTATGTGTCCACATGAGGCAACAGCACAGTAGTAGGTCCCAGCATGAGAAAGATTCAGGCTCTGCATCGGCAAGTTGTAGACACAGGTTTGTGTTTGTGTCTCAGGTTTCTTCTCACACTGATCATTCCTGTCTCCATGAGTGTAAATGAGTCCTGGATGAGATTCTTCAGAGTCTTTGAACCAGTAAACACTGTGTTCTCCATCACAGGTCCCAGTGTGTACTGTACAGCTGAGAGTCACAGAGCCTCCTGGCTGGATGGTCTCAGATCCGGACTGATGGACCCAAGCCTGGATGTTCAAACCTGAACCCTTCACACTGACAGTAGCTCCCTCATCAAATTCAATAACAATTGAAGTCATTTTTGCACAATAGTAAGTAGCTGAGTCTGATATACGCAGATCTGTTTGAGAGTCACAGAGCCTCCTGGCTGGATGGTCTCAGATCCGGACTGATGGACCCAAGCCTGGATGTTCAAACCTGAACCCTTCACACTGACAGTAGCTCCCTCATCAAATTCAATAACAATTGAAGTCATTTTTGCACAATAGTAAGTAGCTGAGTCTGATATACGCAGATCTGTTATTTTTAAGTGATTTTGACCAATTCCAGTGTCCAGAGTGAAACGTGGATTATTCTGGAATTCATCATGAAAACTTCCATTTGTATTAGAAGCATAAAGGGTCGAGAGGAGCCGTGGTTTCTGTCCCACACTTTGCTTGTACCAGTAAATCCTTGGTAAATCATCATTGTCAAAGAAACATTGTAAAGTCAAGCTTTCACCAACATTAGCCGATATAAAACTTCTCTCTTGACGAACAGATGAGGAGAATTTCTGATCAGTCGCCTGAACTGATGAGGAATGAGAGACAAAGCAAAGGAACATAATGAACACATGAAAACATTTCAAAGATTCAAACTGCATCACACAAACACAACTCACCCATTCTCCCCAAGAACAAACATGTCAGACAGAAGACAAACTGTGCACATGTCATCGTGCTTGAATTTTCTGGCTGAGTGGAAAGAATCTTGATCTTTTCTTCACTTTTGACAAGACAAGACTGTGTTTGATTGGCCGACTGAAGTGACACTGTATGTCCAAATATGGAAACTTGATCACATGTTCAGTGCAACCCATTGTGTGAAGTTTAGTCTCTGAGAATTACACGGTGAAAGACATGAAGAACAAGAGTTGAAAAGAGTTTTCTGCATTAGCTTGTAAATTTGTGAAAAATAAATGTGTGTACTTCACTGAGTCAGTTCAGTGAACACTGACCTGCTGCTGGTGCTACACAGAAAGTCAGTGGATCATCAAAGTCAGGGTGATTCTTCCTCTGAGGACGGTCTCTCTATACAACATGTCATGCCAGTCCATCCAATACATATGTGAGTTTGGACCTAAGTGTTGGACTGACCAACCGACAGACTGACCAACATTATCACAGAGCCATCCTGTTAGCATGGCTAAAAACATTTACAATAAATTCAAAATTTACTATGACATAATTCTTGACTGATAAATGGGATTAAAAAGAAGGAAAAATTGACTTTTTTTTCTAGAAATATTAATTGATGTTGTTTCTTTGTTTTGTAAATGCTACTTTTCAATGCTGTGAGCACCACACCCCCGATTCTGTCACCTTCCTCTGTACTGGGGAGGCAGCAGAGGTCTAGTAGAACCAAAGCCTCAACAGTTTCCAATGTTTAATCTCAAGTGTTTGGGCTAAAGGAAAAACAAATCTTTAGAATCATTGTATAGATCTTATTTTACAATTAATGGTGTTTGGTCTCAACCTCACAGCGGTGTGTGTCATTGTATGTGTCTGCTGTGTATGAAAGTATCTTGATGAAAACCACAACAGCTGCTCCAACCAACTACAGTATATAAAAGCATAAAGCGCAGGAGCAGAGGTTCACTGTCTGACAGTGAAGACTGCCTCATTTTGTTTCCGTTCTTTCATGAAGCCTTTGCCTGACTTAGGCCTGCAGAGTAACACCTGATCACTCCAGCCTGTTCTTCAAGATGATCACTTCAACAACACACACCACTCATGTCTGATCAGTTTTCACAGCAAAAGCAAAGCAGTCAGAACGACTTTGTCCACGTCCACACAAGTGTTTTCATTCTAAAACAGCGTTTTATAACGAAAACCATCTCCATCCAGCTAAGTGTTTTATCTCTGTAGCATACTAGCAAACCTGAAAACTTCTATCACATGAGCATTCACATAGTCTCCATGTGCATGCTGATGTAAACAGGAAGAAGATACTCGTTGGTTACTTGGTTGCAGAAAATACTATGAAGAAGGAAAAGCATTGGCAGAAAGTCAGACCAGAGATTTCTTTGCTGAGACCGAACTGAAACCATAAGACCATCATGGCGGCAGAAAACGTAATTAGGGAATCATTGTTCTCTAGTGGAAAAGATTCAAGTGATAGGAGCATGAAGAATCACAGAGCGCACGTCCTGAGTGATAAAACACAATCAGGAGGAAAAGTGGATATGTTCACCATCGTTTATGATCGTCCAGATTCCCAAAAGTGTCCATTCCAAGGCACTGTGGGCGTCGGGTGTAAACTCAGCAATAGTGTTGAAAAGTAAAATGTATTAGTGTGAATGTATCTGAAGAAAGAGCGGAGAACTCAGAGGCTACTGATCTAACAGCATTCATTAAATGGGGTTAGCAGTCAGAGCAGTACCAAGAAGATACTAGAAGACTGATGTCATATCTCTTTGTGGTGGGTGAGAGTTTCCACCATTTGCAATCAATCCACTTGCATGTGTGTTAGAGCTGGGTAATTAACTGAAAATGTATCAACACATTTCTCACTGACTTAATCTTGCTCATGTCGGTTCATCCAGTTGATACTTTCCCCAATGTGAACCCAGTATCAGGTCGACCTCCTTGATCTCTCTGAGACTGATCTCAGGAACCAGAGAGAATTTTAAATATGTTGCATTGTACATGTCTCAGACTATTTTAAAGGTTTTATACAATGTCCCCCCATGACTGGTTTGTGTTTCTTTCAATCTGAATATGCATTTATTCATCCTATCCTGTCAGTTCACTTTTTTGTGTTTGTGTGGTCAAACACACACACACACACACACACACACACACACACACACACACACACACACACACACAAAAGGCCATAAGAACCGAGGGCTACATGATCTAAGACTCTGGTCATCCTCTCCTCCACCTTTTCCCCACAACTGCTTGCACACACATGTAATGATTTATAAACTCCTATAACCTGTTGCATGATAGAAGCACAGCCATTACCATTGACAATTACACATTATTGCCAATTACACACTCACAAATGAGTAAATACCTCTGGGGTCACCTAACTCGACTTGTCGATGGTGTGACTCCTCCCAGTAATTGTCTAACAAGCAGCAGATTGACAGGGGTCAGAGTCAGGCTGTATCTCCTGGCCTTTATTAACTTTAAAGAAAGTAAGTCACAATGTGAAGACAAAACTTTTCTTTGGGGACTTTACATAGCGACTAGAAGAGCAAACCAAACAGAGGTGATAAGTGCTCTGGCCTAGATTGTACGAGTCCTCTTTGTGCCTTCCAGCACAGTGTCAGCAGTATGGTTACTTATGCATGCAGCCTGGTCAGGGCTGCACAGTAAAAGCCATCTTCTAATGATGACATCAAATACTCTTACAGTAATTTAGAGAATTTTCTATGAACGTAGTTCTTCAAATTATTATGTAGTAAATGATGCACAATGTAATGGCTACAGATAAAAAACTATGATCGTGCCCCCCATCCCGCCTACCCCGCCTCCTCACCCTTCTCTCAGCCTTACTTCTCAACACTAGCATCTGTACTTCACACTGGCACCCTCTCACAATTTCTTTCCACTCCCAGCTTCTCTTCTTCAGCATATCTTATGGCTTGGTCTTTATCCCAATATCTGTAAACTCCCTCTACCGTCCACCACCACCCCACAAATATCTAAGATACCCTCTACTCCCCACCCCTCCTACACTCTATACCTGCCTCCACCACCCACACACCTACAAGCCGCACCCGCACCTCCCTCCCCGCGCCCACCACCCCCCCACCTCTCTCACTCACCAAAGTAAAATGAACCCACCCCCCCCCCACTCCTCCCTCACCTCCCTCTCCCCCCCTCCTCCACACCCCTGGAGTACCATCACATTCCAGTCTTCCCCCCCCTATCCCCCCCTCCTCTCTTCGCCGCCTCTGCTCCTCGGGCGTTCACATTTCACTACGGCAGCCGTAATGCGCAGATTTGTCTGCATCCCCTCTTGCGTAACGCCTCTGGTAACAAAATTTGTAAAATCAGATTATAATATGGACCCTGACAAAAATTAAAACAGTTTCAAAACAACAAGTGAATATCATATTGCAGAGAAATGTTTTGCAATGCAATGTAGTTCAACGGGTAAATTTCCATGACGGAAAAGTTCAAAAATATCGACAAGACAAAGTAATCAGCAACAAAACGGGGTTTCAATTTTCATTTAACAGTATAATCTAGAGATGAAATTTTACCTCTGCATCTGCTCTGGAGGATGAAGATCTTGTTTGTGTCTCTAAAACACAAGAACAATAATTTGACTGAAAAGCCAAACTGACTGAAAACAAGCTGTCAGATATACACACTATCTATGAGCTGTACCTGATAGGAAGCTGTTTGTTTTCTTCATCTTGTAAATTAAGGAAGCCAGTAAAACAACCAGGATGGTGGTGAACGCCAAAGCTCCGCTCAAGAAATACACCAAGACAAGAGAGTGTTCCTCATCTGCAGAGCCAAACATCAGAAACACAGCTTTCAGTGGTTTTCCCATTTTCATCTGCTAGACCGCAGCTAGAAAAGTGACTTACCCTCAACGTCCAGCTCGGTCCCGTTTCCAAACAGTATGTGTCCACATGAGGCAACAGCACAGTAGTAGGTCCCAGCATGAGAAAGATTCAGGCTCTGCATCGGCAAGTTGTAGACACAGGTTTGTGTTTGTGTCTCACGTTTCCTCTTACACTGATCATTCCTGTCTCCATGAGTGTAAATGAGTCCTGGATGAGATTCTTCAGAGTCTTTGAACCAGTAAACACTGTGTTCTCCATCACAGGTCCCAGTGTGTACTGTACAGCTGAGAGTCACAGAGCCTCCTGGCTGGATGGTCTCAGGTCCGGACTGATGGACCGAAACCTTGATGTTCAAACCTGAACCCTGTACACTGACAGTAACACCCTCATCAAATTCAGTAATGAATGAAGTCCTTTTGGCGCAGTAGTAAGTAGCTGAGTCTGATATACGCAGATCTGTTATTTTTAAGTGATTTTTACCAGTTCCAGTGTCCAGAGTGAAACGTGGATTATTCTTGAATTCATCATTAAATGTTGTATTTCTATTAAAAGCAAATAGGGTCGAGATGAGCCTTGGTTTCTGTCCCACACTTTGCTTGTACCAGTAAATCCTTGTTGCATCATTATTTTTAATTACACAGGGTAAAGTCAAGCTTTCACCAACATTAGCTGATACAAAACTTCTCTCTTGACGAACAGATGAGGAGAATTTCTGATCAGTCGCCTGAACTGATGAGGAATGAGAGACAAAGCAAAGGCACATAATGAACACATGAAAACATTTCAAAGATTCAAACTGCATCACACAAACACAACTCACCCATTCTCCCCAAGAACAAACATGTCAGGCAGAAGACAAACTGTGCACATGTCATCCTGCTCGAATTTTCTGGCTGAGTGGAAAGAATCTTGATCTTTTCTTCACTTTTGACAAAACAAGACTGTGTTTGATTGGCCGACTGAAGTGACACTGTATGTCCAAATTTGGAAACTTGATCACATGTTCACTGTAACCCATAGTGTGAACTTTAGTTTCAGAGAATTACATAGTGAAAGACATATGAAGAACATAAAGATTTGTCAGCTGTGCATTAGCTTTAGAACTACTGAAAAAAATTACCACATGTTTGTATTTTATTTACAATTATCTGAAAGGACATTCTGAGGTTCAATATTTGACTTCCGTTTGTTCCTCTCCTCAGAGACAAGATTGTGTTTGATTGGCTGATTGAAGTGACACACTATGTCCCGTATAAGAGATATGATCTGCTTTGTTTCCATGAATAGAATCACATGGTGAGAGGCACATGAAGAACATAATGGTTTCTCATGTGGGCAATAGATTTCAAATCACTTAAAAAATAAATGATCTGTACAAACAGCATAAACTCAAAAAAAACAAAACAAATCTGCCTCCTCTTCAATTCTAGGGAGGTTAAATGCTGTTGGGTATAGGTAATTAATTATTGGCTATCAGAAATTAACAAAATATTAATATTGAAAATATTAATATTAAATTTAACTTGAAATGAAATTATACCAATCCCCAGGGGCACCATCCTAACAGGAAAGAATAGCCAATATTGATACAGTCTCAAATTATACTATTGACTGTTAACTAACTACTTAACTACTACTAACTAATAAACTACTTAACTAAAAGCAAAATAATCTTTGAGATTGGCAATATTCCGCCTTGTACAACATTAAATACACCAGTAGGCAAAGACATTCATAACAAGATCACAGTGGTAAAAGCACACAGTAATACAGATGTGTGTGTGTGTGTGTGTGTGTGTGTGTGTGTGTGTGTGTGTGTGTGTGTGTGTGTGTGTGTGCGTGTGTGTGTGTGTGTGCGCCCTGTAGGGACACAGACAAAGACAAGATGGCCGATTCAAAATGGTTGCTGGGACCACATGGCTTAAATAAAGGGAACTACAACCAAGATGGCGGTAAAACAAAAAGGAACTACACAAGATGGCGGACACAAAGATGGCCA